GTATGCTGAAAATGTATGCTTTACGAATGGAAATAGGCCGGTGTTTGCCTCTTGAAGACCCTCTTGGGGCCCTCTTCGGCCATCTTCAAGCCATCTCGGGCCCTGTTGGGGCGCTCTTGAGCGTCTTGGGGCCCTCTTGGGCCTCGCTGAGGCTGTCTTGTGGGCCTCTTGGGCTGTCTTTGGGGCCTCATGGGCCGTCTTGGGCGGGTTCGTGGACCCCACAGGACGCCCGGGGCGGCCATGCCAACCGGTGGCACCACCTCCCCCCCGCCCCCGGGCCCCGTCCGTCTATCCTACTGTTCCTCTCCAAACACTCGTTCCCTAACCTCCCGATCATGTCCCCGGACCCCCGTCCCTTCCCCCCAGAGCACCGCAGCAGCAGGAAAGCGTTCCGAAACGGTGAGAAATCATGTTTCCGGAAAGCGTTCAAGAATATGAATCGCACGTCGTCCAAGGCGCCTCGGAAGGCGCAGAATACTCCTCCAAGGCGCGGAATCATGTTCCCCGACCGCCTTCCGGGAACATGATGGGGACGACCTCCTGAGTGCCTCCAGTGGGCCTCTTTGGGGCCTCTCGGAGGCCTGTGGGGCTTTCCTGGAAGCGTCTTGGGGCGCGCTCAGGGCCATTTTTGGGCATCTTGGGGGCCTCTGGGGGCCTTCGGGGAGGCTCTTGGGGGCCTCTTTGGGGCCTCGTGGGGCCTCGCGGGGCCCTCTTGGGGACCGCTGGGCTCGCTTAGGTAGTCTTGAAGCCCTGTCGGGGCACTCCTGGAACCGTCTTGGGCGGCTCCTGGGCCATCTTGGGGCTCTCCTGGGCCGTCTTGGGACGATTTGGGGGGTCTCTTGGGCCGTCTTGGGGCGGTCTTGGGGGCCTCTTCGGCCGTCTTGGAGCGGTTTTGGGAGACTCTTGGACGGCCTTGGAGCGTCTGAACCCCGAAAAAGCGAGAAGGCCAAAAACCTAAAAATATAATAATGATAATAATAACAACGATGTTGGCTTGTCGGGGCTCTCTTGGGAGGCCTCTTGGGATGCCTTCGGGGCCTCATGAAGCTCTCTTGGAACGTCTTCGGGCCTTCCTGGCCATTCCTGAAGCTATCTATGCGCGTCTTGGAGCGTTCGCGGGCCGTCTTGGGCGGCCTCGAACTGTTCCTGGCGGTCCCAGGGGCCCTCCGGGACGCTTCGGACGCTCCCGGGGGCGCCCTGCACACCCCATGGAGATGACAGGCACCGCCCCGGGGCCCTACTCCGATATAAATATATATATATATATATATAGAGAGAGAGAGAGAGAGAGAGAGAGAGAAAAAGAAAAAAAGAGAGAGGGAGAAAGAGAGAGAGAGAGAGAGAAGCCCATACGTAAAACATGTAGGATTGTGTACACAGGAGAAGGACAATCTATAGAAACGTAGTACGTCGTCCAAGGCGCCTCGGAAGGCGCCTCGGAAAGCGCAGAATACTCCTCCAAGGCGCGGAATCATGTTCCCGGACCGCCTTCCGGGAACATGATGGGGACGACCTTCTGAGGGCCTCCAGTGGGCCTCTTGGGGGCCTCTTGGAGGCCTGTATATATATATATATATATATATATGTGTGTGTATAGACCCATACGTAAGACATGTAGGACTGTGTACACAGGAGAAGGACAATCTACATAAACATAGGTACGTTGTCCAAGGCGCCTCGGAAGGCGCCTCGGAAAGCGCAGAATACTCCTCCAAGGCGCGGAATCATGTTCCCGGACCGCCTTCCGGTAACATGATGGGACGACCTTCTGAGGGCCTCCAGTGGGCCTCTTGGGGGCCTCTCGGAGGCCTGTTGGGCTCTCCTGGAGGCGTCTTGGGGCGCGCTCAGGGCCATTGTTGGGCATCTTGGGGGCCTCTATACATGGGGAAGAATTCGAAATAGGTGGAAGGAAGTGGCACGACTCGGGAGGGCTTGGGGGAGGGGTATATATATATATATGGATTTATATATGGATTTATATACACGTGTATATAGAAACATGCGTAAGACATATAGGAGCGTGTACAAAGGAGAAGAACCATCTATATAAACATAGGTATACTCGTCGAAGACGCCTCGGAAGGCGCCTCGGAAAGCGCAGAATACTCCTCCAAGGCGCGGAATCATGTTCCCGGACCGTCTTCCGGGAACGTGATTGGGACAACCTTCTGAGGGCCTCCAGGGGGCCTCTTGGGGGCCTCTCGGAGGCCTGTTGGGCTCCCCTGGAGGCGTCTTGGGGTTCGCTCAAGGCCATTGTTGGGCATCTTGGGGGCCTCTATATGTGGGGAAGAAAATTGAAATATTTGAAAGGAAGTGGCACGACTCGGGAGGGCTTGGGGGAGGGGTATACGTATATATATATATATATATATATATATATGCACATATGTGTATATACATATATATATATATATATACACATATACATATATATATATATATATATATGTTTGTGTATGTATATGTATATATATATACATTATATATAGAAACATACGTAAGACATGTAGGACTGTGTACACAAGAGAAGGACAATCTATATAAACATAGGTACGTTGTCCAAGGCGCCTCGGAAGGCGCCTCGGAAAGCGCAGAATACTCCTCCAAGGCGCGGAATCATGTTCCCGGACCGCCTTCCGGGAACATGATGGGCACAACCTTCTGAGGGCCTCCCGTGGGCCTCTTGGGGGCCTCTCGGAGGCCTGTGGGGCTCTCCTGGAGGCGTCTTGGGGCGCGCTCAGGGCCATTGTTGGGCATCTTGGGGACTTCTATTTATGGGGAAGAATTTGAAATACGTGGAAGGAAGTGGCACGACTCGGGAGGGCTTGGGGGAGGGGTGTATATATATGTATATACAGATGTATATATGTATATATATATATATATATATATATATAAATGTGTGTGCGTATGTGTATATATATAGAGAGAGAGAGGCCCATACGTAAGACATGTAGGATTGTGTACACAAGAGAAGGACAATCTATAGAAACATACGTACGTCGTCCAAAGCGCCTCGGAAGGCGCCTCGGAAAGCACAGAATACTCCTCCAAGGCGCGGAATCATGTTCCCGGACCGTCTTCCGGGAACATGATTGGGACAACCTTCTGAGGGCCTCCAGGGGGCCTCTTGGGGGCCTCTCGGAGGACTGTTGGGCTCCCCTGGAGGCGTCTTGGGGTTCGCTCAAGGCCATTGTTGGGCATCTTGGGGGCCTCTATATGTGGGGAAGAAAATTGAAATATTTGAAGGAAGTTGCACGACTCGGGAGGGCTTGGGGGAGGGGTATGTATATATATACACACATATGTGTATATACATATATGTATATATACATATATATATATATGTTTGTGTATGTATATGTATATATATACATTATATATAGAAACATACGTAAGACATGTAGGACTGTGTACACAAGAGAAGGACAATCTATATAAACACAGGTACGTCGTCGAAGACGCCTCGGAAGGCGCCTCGGAAAGCGCAGAATACTCCTCCAAGGCGCGGAATCATGTTCCCGGACCGCCTTCCGGGAACATGATGGGGACGACCTCCTGAGGGCCTCCAGTGGGCCTCTTATATATATATATATATATAACATACGTAAGACATGTAGGATTGTGTACACAGGAGAAGGACAATCGATAGAAACATACGTACGTCGTCCAAGGCGCCTCGGAAGGCGCCTCGGAAAGCGCAGAAACTCCTCCAAGGCGCGGAATCATGTTCCCGGACCGCCTTCCGGGAACATGATGGGGACGACCTCCTGAGGGCCTCCATACACGGAGAAGGACAATCGGAAACATACGTACGTCGTCCAAGGCGCCTCGGAAGGCGCCTCGGAAAGCGCAGAAAACTCCTCCAAGGAGCGGAATCATGTTCCCGGACCGCCTTCCGGGAACATGATGGGGACGACCTCCTGAGGGCCTCCAGTGGGCCTCTTGGGGGCCTCTCGGAGGCCTGTTGGGCTCTCCTGGAGGCGTCTTGGGGCGCGCTCAGGGCAATTGTTGGGCCTCTTGGGGGCCTCTGGGGGCCTCCGGGGAGGCTCTTGGGGGCCTCTTCGGGGCCTCTTGGGGCCTGGCGGGGCCCTCTTGGGGACCGCTGGGCTCGTTTAGGCAGTCTTGAAGCCCTGTCGGGGCTCTCCTGGAACCGTCTTGGGCGGCTCCTGGGCCATCTTGGGGCTCTCCTGGGCCGTCTTGGGACGATTTGGGGGGTCTCTTGGGCCGTCTTGGGGCGGTCTTGGGGGCTTCTTCGGCCGTCTTGGAGTGGTTTTGGGAGACTTTTGGACGGTCTTGGAGCGTCGGAACCCCGAAAAAGCGAGAAAGCCAAAAACCTCGAAAAAAAACTACAAATCAACGATTTTGGCTTGTCGGGGCTCTCTTGGGAGGCCTCTTGGGATGCCTTCGGGGCCTCATGGAGCTCTCTTGGAACGTCTTCGGGCCTTCCAGGCCATTCCTGAGGCTATCTATGCGCGTCTTGGGAGCGCTCGCGGGCCGTCTTGGGCGGTCTCGAACTGTTCCTGGCGGTCCCAGGGGCCCTCCGGGACGCTTCGGACGCTCCCGGGGGCGCCCTGCACACCCCATGGAGATGACAGGCACCGCCCAGGGGCCCAACTCATATATATATATATATATATATATATATATATATATATATATATATATATATATAGTCGTACACTCCACGAGAGCAGGATTTCTGGGGTAAGACGATCCAGTAGTCGATCCCCTACTCCAGCGTCTGAAGATAGGGGGCCACATGCGAAGCCTGCCCCACCACCCCAAGGGTTCTAGGGGGCAAGGTGAGGTTCACTTCGTTCGGGAACTCCCGAGCGAAGTAACCCCCCCCCTTAGAAATCGTGGGGTGGTGGGGCAGGCTTCGCATGTGGCGTCCTACGAAGAGGCGTCTTACCAGGCAGGGGGTGCGGGTCGCAGAGGCAGCCAGCCACCTCAGCAGGCCAGCGCCCTTACTCCGCCCGCGTGTGTGCGCCGCCGGCCCACGCAGCGCAGCCTGAAGTGGAGGGTCGACGTAACGTACGTAACAACGGTTGTGTTGCATCTTCGGGGGGCCTCTGTCCCGTCGCGCCTCTATCTGCGTCGAATCCGTTTCGGATCCACGTCGGACTCGTCGAATCCGCGTCGAATCCACGCCACATCCGCGTCGAATCCGCATCGAGCCTGCGTCGGGTACAAGAAAAGACACCAAATTTGAGGACAGACGAGGTCCCCCGTAGATGCAACGTAAAACAAGATCTTGAGCCAAAGCGGCTACCGCAAGACGACGTCGGTCGGTCGGTCGGTCGGTCATCGTCGTAGAGGTCTTCGGAGGTTTTCGGGGGTGTTCGGAATGCAGCTCCACTTCCTCTGTCCGCTGTCCTGCCCCCCCTACTTCACGCCATCCTGCTTCACACCGTCATTCTGCTCCTCCTTCCCCTCTCCTCCCAGCTATCGCAAGTCTCCTGCCATGACGGCGTGGGCTCTGGGCTCTATGATCGTTCGGCTAGAGGAAAAGCAAACGGCATAAACATAAACTGTCGACGGCCCGCGCGGATGTCTCGGACCTGAGCGCGCGGAGCGCGCCAGAGGCGGCGCCGGGGGCGCCGCCAGTGGGTTCCAGCGACGCTCCGCGGAGCATCGAAAGTTGATGTTTATGTCGTTTGTTTTCCTCGAACTGTCACCGCGCGGATCCTTCAGTCTTGAACGATCTGTGCTGCCGAGGATTCCAAGAGGGAACGCACGCGGCCGCGCAGCCGCTAGGCCGAGACGGCACAAGTCCGCCGGGACTGACGGAGGAGGTGGGAGAAGGCAAGGGGTAAGGAGCGAGACGAAGGGGCATGGACAGCAGCACACGCTAACATTTAGAGAAAGAAATCACCGCACGAACATGAACTTTCGACGGCCCGCGCGGATTTCTTGGATCTGCGCTGGAACCCGCTCCCTGGCGCGCGGAGCGCGCCAGGGGCGGCGCCGGAGGCGCCGCCAGGGAACCCCAGCGCAAATCCAAGAAATCCGCGCGGATCGTCGAAAGTGTGTGTGTGTGTGTGTGTGTGTGTGTGTGTGTGTGTGTGTGTGTGTGTGTGTGTGTGTGTGCGCGTGTGCGTGTGCGTGTGTTGTGTGTGTGTGTGTGTGTGTGTGTGTGTGTGTGTGTGTGTGTGTGTGTGTGTGGTGTGTGTGTGTGGGGGGGGGGGGGGGGGGGGGGGGTGTGGTGTGTGTGTGTGCGTGTGTGTGTGTGTGTGTGTGTGTGTGTGTGTGTGTGTGTGTGTGTGTGTGTGTGTGTGTGTGTGTGTGTGTGTGTGTGTGTGTGTGTGTGTGTGTGTGTGCATGTCGCTTTGTCTTCTTCTTCTACTTCGAAACCTGCATTTACGGATCCGTGGGTCTAGCGCGCGGGTGCCAGATCTACAGACCGGAGAAGGTACCCTCCGAAACAAGGAGCCCATACCTCCCGATCGGGCGACGGGTCGTGCCGCTTCTGTACGGAAGCGGGGGGCCGTCGCTAATCCACGCGCCTTGAGCAATACGTGCACTTCCTCGAGGGGCGAGGGAGGTGAGATGAAGGTCTGGCACTGCAACAGCGTGACCGCAAGGATGGAAACTCTCGCTCACCGATGCCATCTCGCCTCACCCTGCTGCTCTTACTTCACCTCATTTACGCGCTCGCCTTGGTCGGCGTTGTTGTCCCCTCCTTCCCCGCCTCTGCCTCTCCGACTGAATTTTCTCATTGCTACTCTCTGTGCTAGCTGCGCTCCTCGAACACATCATACTCCTTCTCCTCGGGCTCCTTCTCCTCCCCCCATCCCCCCCCTCACCAACATCTTCCGTATCCTCTCATGTCTCCTCCTCCTCCTCCTATACTCCGACAGTTGATATTACCCCTCTTCCTCCCATGTCTCCTCCTCCTCCTCCTCCTCCTCCTCCTCCTCCTGCCCTTCTTCTCACCATCAGCATCAGCATCAGCATCATCATCGTCATCATCAGCACCATCAGCTTCTTCATCATTATCATCATCATCACCAGCATTAGTATCATCAGCATCATCAGCACCATCAGTATCGTCATCATCAACATCATCAGCATCATAAGCATGAGCTTCAGCATCGGCATCATCATCACCATAATCCGTATCATCATCATCAGCAGCAGCCCCATCATTATCCTCATCCTCATCCTCATCCTCAGTATTAACCCCGTCATCATCCCCATCAGCATCTTCATCATCATAATCATCATGATACCCAGTTTCATTACAATCACCAGCATCATCATCAGTATCAGTATCATCATCATCCTCATCATCATCATAATCATCATCATGATCATCAGCAGCATCATCAGCGTCATCACCACCACCCGCAGCGTCATCAACACCTGTTTCCTCGTCCTTGCCACCATCAGGTTCTTCATAGTCGCCATCCTCACCGTCGTCGTCGTCGTCGTCATCATCATCCGCATCATCAACATCATCATCATCATCGTCATCGTCATCGCCATCCTCATCATCATAATCATCATCATCATCAGCATTATTATCAACATCATCATCGTCATCGTCATCATCATCATCAGCATCAGCATCAGCATCATCATCGTCATCATCATCATCATCATCGTCATTATCGTCATCGTCATCGTCATCATCAGCATCAGCATCACCATCACCATCATCATCATCATCATCGGCAGCAGCATCAGCATCATAATCACCACCACCACCATCTTCAGCACCACCGCCATCCTCACTGTCAGCTTAATCACCATCATGGCCGTGACCACCATCATCATCATCAGCATCATCATCATCATCATCATCATCATCATCATCATCATCATCATCAGATCTGTCATCCCCCTGTCTTGACTGCCTTCCTCCACCTCCTCCACCATCTCTTCCTCCTCCTTTCCTTTTCCCAGGGGCGATTGGTCGGAGGGATGGCCAACACCACTGACGACGCAATGCGAATCTACAGAATCGACGATTATGTTTCCTTGAACTGCGGGAAGTTGGCGCCCCGACGCCCCTCCTCCACAGGAGAGCCGATTGTGCCCCCGCGGCGATTCCAAGTGCAACACCTGCGCGGCGCCACGGGGAACGGGAGACCGAACAAACTCGTTCATGCAACGCTTGGGCCGGCCGCAACCACTGGCCTGTTGGCGTTGCGGTGACCCCCGCCGCGTCTGGGCGTAGGGCTGCGCTCTCTGGCCATCCCGACGCCGCGATCTTTATGGCCCCTGTCACCGGGGGCTTTGATGAACCAGGGTATTGGCACAGCCCACGGCTCGAAGCACTGTTCGTCCCTCGTGTTCTGCAGATGGGCTCGGCAGCGTCGTGGTCGGGCGGAGAACGACGAGGCAGCAGGCAAACCAGGAAGGAGGGAGAAGGAGAGGGGAGGGAGGAGAAAGAACGAAGAGTGATGAAGGGAAAAGAGAAACATAATGGATGGCCACGAGAAGGAAGAAAGGAAACTTACGGAATGAGCAGGAGGAGGGAGGGAGACGAGTGGACGTATAATCCCGACAAGCCGATGATGACAAACCTACCTGACATAAGGACAGGAGAAGGTAGAGGGACTGGGTGAGCACAGGACGAACTACCGAATCCCGCACAATGCGGCGCCGCGGCTGCCGCGTACGCGCCCCCACGCGACCCTCATCTCTGTAACGGTCGGCGCCTGCGCCATCGTCTCCGTCGCGGTCGGCACCTGCACCTACATCTGTTCCAATAACCCCCGGAAGCATTTGAGAACCCCCCTCTGGCGAGATCGTAGCGCCGCATTTTTTTTCGATATTCCGAGGGGCCGAAATAACCGAACGATAGCTTTAGCACCCGGACACAAAACAAATTCGCGGCGGCCTGGCCCCTGGGCCAAGATCGGAATTCGAAATTCAAATCTGCGTGGCTCTCATGAAAGACTCAGGATGTCGCTTGCTGCTTAGAAAGTTCACGCAATGATATTCGTATTAAGATTGGGAAGCATTTTTGAGGATTCCTAACGAATTCAATGGATCCATCAGGTGTCACACAAGTTCCGCAGGATTCTCAAGGATTCCTAAGGATTCACAAACGTTCCTCAGGATTCATAAAAGATTCAAAGGATGCCCAAGGATGCCTGAATATTTCCCAGGAATCCAAAGGATTCCTCCGGAATTCCAAAAGATTCGTCAGAATTCCTCAAGAGTCCTAAGAAGGTTATCGTTTACTGCATCTAAAAGAAAACTAAAAAACCGGAAAACCGAGAAACATGAGAAAACCGGAGAAACTTGAGAAAAGCTGAGAAACGTAAGAAAGCTGAGAAAACTGAGAAAACGGAAGAAAGCGGAGAAACAAGAAAAACAACAGAAAACTGAAAAGTCTGGAGAACTCAAAAATTTGAGAAAGCTGAGAAACCTGAGAAAAGCTGAGAAACTTGAAAAAGCTGAGAAAACCGAGAGAACTTGGAAAACAACTGAAAAAAAAACACATGGGAAAACTGAGAGAACTGAGAAAATGTGATATATATATATATACACATATATATATAAATATATATATATATATATATATATATATATAACTGAAGTAAAAGGGTGAAAGCCTGACGTCTGAAGAGGGGGGCCATCTCGCTGACAACGCGAGCGCTGGAAACGCCATAGCGCTCGGACGGTTTAAATTAAAAAAATAATATAATATAATATATATATATATATATATATATGTGTTTTTTAAAAAAAAATTCTGAACGCTTGAAAAACCGCCCTGTGAGCGCTGAAAAAAAACGAAACGATGCTGAGCACTGAAAGCTGGTCGTGGACAGGCTTCTTCTGATCCTTGTGGGCTGACGCGGCAGGCTTCTTCTGAGTCGCGACAGGCTTCTTCTGATGCTTCTGGGCCTTGACAGGCTTCTTCTGGACTGACGCGGCCGGCTTCTTGTGGACTGACGCGGCAGGCTTCTTCTGAACTGACTCTTCAGCCCTCCTGCGAGCTTCCCTGAACCTCTTCGCCCGAAACCTTTTCCTGAGATCGCTGTTCCTGACCCTCTCAATGTAAGCATGGTACTGAGGGTTCCCCTGACGCTCCACCTCCTT